CCGGCCGAGCACTGCTGGAGCAGGGCAACGCACTCCTCCACCGAGGGCGCGCGCTGCCCCACGATCGGCTCCGCGCACGGCGGAGCAGGAGGGAACGACGAGGCGCAGTCCTCTGCTGAGGGCGCCTCCAGCTCCGCGGCGACCTCCGCGGCGGGCGGAGGCGGGGGCGGCGGCGGCGGGCCGCCGGCGAATCGCGGCTGGGCCACGGGGCCCAAGGCGATCCAGGCCAGGAGGAAGCCCAAAGACGCAAGGCTGGCTCCCTCTGGCCGCATCTCGAGAGAAAAGGCTATGGAGCAACAAATGTGAGTGCCAGTGACAAACGACATTCGGCGGCTCTCATTCTGCTTCTGGATTAAAGTTCAAAGAACGGCCATCATCATCATCATCATCATCGCCACCACCATCATCAGCATCATCATCATCATCAACAACCTCATCATCCTTGTCATCCTCCGTTCTATTTCCTTGTAAATAACTTCTCCCTGTCGCATCCCGAGGCAAGTTTTTAGGGCGAGCTGGGCGTTTCGCCTGAGATATCTTCACCACGTATGATTCTGCAGCTTAAACATTGGCAACAGCTTCACACATGGAGGGCGGGTCGATTTCAAGATGTGGCTTTCGCATTAGCGCCGCGCACATTCATTCTAAAAATGTGCAAGAGCTTCACGGATCGAGGAAAACAATGTTTCAGAATGTGGCTCCCGCCGAAGTTCCGCGCACATTCGCTCAAGAAAAAATGCGCCAGAGCTTCACGGATTGAGGGCGGTTGCTTTTCAAAATGTGGCTCTCGCCTGAGCGCCGCGCACACTCGTTCATACAATTCGCAGGGGCGTCGAGGATTCCCACGATCAACGTGCCAGAAATGGTGTTTGGAAAGATTCAAGATTTTGCGGGCGCAACAGTTACGTTGGTTGACGGTGTTGAAATCCCGAGAATGGCGCTCTGGCACGATCTAGGATCGTCAAGGCTTGAGTCTGCCGCGGGGGTCAGAACTGCAGGGGGGGGGGCATTGCGTCAAGACGCTTGGGACTTACACTCTGGCAGGCAACCCTGCGAGTCAAGACGAGAGGCGGCGACACTCTAGAAGTCATGACTTTGGGCGACGAAGGTTGGTGGCGACGCTCTCGTCGCCAACGCACTTGGCGAAGATGCTCTCAAGCGAAACTTGGTTCTTAGTTTATCCCGAAACGATCAAAAAGTGAGGCAACTTTGGCCTCGCGACCCGATCTGGAAACCATTGCCTGAGTTGCCGACCACGGCCAGGTATACCCCCACGCGTAAGCCCCCAAAGGGTCCTTAACCGCTGTTGGAAAATACCTTATTGGTCCAAGTGCGGTCGTCTGCTGCGCATCATCCGTGGTCCTCCTCTTCTCCTCCCCCCTCTCCTCCTCCTCTCACTTCCTCCTCTCACTTCCTCCCTCTCCTCGTCCTCTTCCTCATCTTTCTTCCCTCCTCTCCTCGTCCTCCTCCTAGTCCTCCTCCTTCTCCCATTCCCCCCCTCCCCAGATAACCTCCAGGCAGCAGCAATAATGAAGAGAACGCGAACATGAGAAGGCGGCAGGGGCCTGATGAGAGGAAAGCTGGATGAGAGAGCAGAGGAAGGGAACTGAGGAGCAAGAGGCGGGGGCAACGATGGCAATCGGCCGGGGCGAAAAGACAGATGACGATGACGCCGGCGACAAGGAGGATGGCGCCACGTCAGTCCTCGGGCGAGGGTCGCCCGCTCTCTCTTCCAGCTCGGCCGTCGCACCGCAGCGCAACCGCTGCAGTGCCCGCGCCCACTCGCAGAGCAGCGGGCCTGCTTCGAGGCCAGCGCCCCGAGAGAGCCCCACTCGACCCTCGGGACTTCAAAGCTAAAAGGCCCCCCCCCCCCCCGAGCCACCTCCCAGTACACGTGTGTTTGTTTAGGCGTGTGTCTAGGTGCAATGTAATCTAGCTATCGGGTTGTAGGGTGGTTCTTAGGCGTAGGCGGCGCGCGCGCGTGCATGCGCGTGCGCGAGCGCGTGCTAAGGCGCGTCCGAATGAGCCCTGTTAATTTCACATGCGCGTGAATGCGCGTGCAGTCTTCTCTCAGGTGCCCCCCGCATGTTGCCCCCCAGTGGCTCAAGGAGGCCCGCGAAAGAAAGAGGGCCTCCAACGCCTGGCGCGCTTGGGGCCCGCGGGCTTCGCCCCGCCAGCGCTTGCAGCGCCGCGCTTGGGCGCGCCCGCCTTGCTCGAGGCGGCCGCCTCCGAAAGCGCACCCGCCTTCACCGCCGTCGCCTTGCTCTCCGTGGCGGCCGCCGCGCCCACCGCCTGCTTCTTCACGTCGGGCGCGTGGAAGCTGCTCGGCGCGACGCTGCCGCTGCGCTTGCCGCCGCCACCGCCGCCGCCGCTTGCCTGACCAGCAGCGGGCTTGGCCGCCGACTCGCCATCGGCGATGGCGTCTCCCACCTGGCCTGGGCGGAGCTCCGCCGTGATGGCCTCGAACTCCTTCCAGAAGCCCGCTGGCACGTCGCGGTGCTTCTCCGACTTGGAGTACGTCTCCAAGTACTCTGTGGCGTCCTTGGGCCCCGTGGGGCTCGTCCTGAGCCTCGCCAGCATGCTCTGGCCGCGCGTCATCGTCACCACCTGCAGCGCCTTGCCCTGCATGGCGAGCACGCCCGCGCAATGCGCATCGCCACGGGCACGCCAGCCGAGCATCAGCCAATGCAGATGAGGGTAAGCACGAGGAGATGAATAAGGGAAGATCCCACATCCATCTCTCCACGCTCACCCTCATCGTCCTCCTCCTCCTCGTCCTACCCTTCACCCTGACCCTCCTCCTCCTCCTCCTCCCCATCCCCCTCCTCCTCGTCCTCCCCCTCAAAATCCGCATCCCCATCATCATCCTCATCATCCTCATCCTCCTCACCCTCATCATCCTCATTCTGCCCCTCGGCTTCTCGCAATCATATTCGCCCTCATCCTCATTCCCCAGCTTCAACTTTCCAATCACCTCGCACCTCTCCTCCTGCTACTGCTGCTGCTGATCCTCCTCCCCCTCGTCCTCCTCCTCCTCATCCCCCTCCTCCTCCTCCTCCTCCTCCTCCTCCTCCTCACCCTCCTCCTCCTCCTCCCTCTGCTCCTACTCTTCCGCCTCCTCATCTTCGTCCTCATCCTCCTCCTCATCATCATCATCATCACCATCATCATCATCATCATCAGCATCATCATCATCACCATCATCGCCATCATCATCATCATCATCAGCAGCATCATCATTATCATCCTGGTCATTCTCATCCCTCTTACCCTCCTCGTTCTCCTCCTCCTCCTCGCCCTCCCCCCCCCTCCTCCTCACCCTCCTCCTTCCCCATCGTCCTCCTCCTCCTCATCCTCTTTCCTCTTCTCCTCCTCCTCCTCATCCTCCTCCCTCTCCTTCTCCCGTCCCCTCCTCCTCCTCCTCCTCATCACCCTCCTCATATTACCCCATTCCCCCTCACCTCGTGCCTGAGCAGAGGGCGAATGGGGGGGGGGCAGAGAAGCTCGGCTGGCGGCCATGGTGATGCGTTGCACGAGTTGTGAACGCCAATCGCCATGGTGGCGATCCCCGTGGCGACCGAAGTCGCCGTGGAGTCGTGCTTGTCGACCGACGGGCTGATGTCCAGGAGCTTGCCCGCCCTGGACAAGTAGGACAACGTCTTGTGGATCTTGTTGTACCCCGCTGTCACACCCGCGAGGTTGCCGAAGATGCGGGACACGATCTTCTCGCTGTAGTTCCCGTGCTGGTCCATCGCCGCGCCGAGCTCAGGCATCAGCTCGTTGGTCGCCTTGCAGTGCTGCACCAAGGCCGCCGCCATCAGGTCCAGCAACTTGGTATGAGACGAACCTGCGTAGACCGTCACCGCTCGGATCCACTGCCTCACACTTTGGATGTTGACCTCGCACTGCCAGCCCTCCTGGTCGAACTCGAATACGCCTGGCCCCGACAAATGCTTGTCCAAACGGATCAAAGCCCTTGCTGCCATGCTCTGCGAGTGCACGAACGCGCCGAAGATGGCGTCATCCGTCGGCGTGGTTGCCGACAAATTGTGGTGTAGCTGCGCCGCAATCCCTGCCACCTCCCTGACCTGGGCCACCATGTCTAAGTAGAGCTTCGCGTACTTCGCTGGCATGTGAATGCTGTTGCCGTTCAGCGACGCGCCTGGAACCACGATCCCGTCAACGCAGCCCGCCTCGATGAAAAAAACAACAACTCGGACGCGGTTTTGTTGAACGGCAATGTGTTCACGGCCTCGTCGCCCTTCACCTCGCCGTCGACCCAGGCGACGTCGTCCAGCAAAAGTTCGGAGGCAGCAGCGTTGAGAACCAGCCTGCCAAAGCACTCATCATGTGGCATGTCTCGCAGCACGCTCTGGCTGACCGCCCCCATGCCGAACTGCATGGGAACAATGGCCGCAATCTTGCTGGCGGGGAACACGTCGCTGCAGCTGCTCAAGATCGTCTTGTCTCGACGGTGCACCCTCCCACTGATTCGCCATCTCACGCCGTTAACCTCCACGTCCAAATCCGACCGAAGGCCCGAAACATCACAAAAACTGTTGGTCACGCGTGGCCTCGTTTTGGTCTTGGAGGTCGGCGACGCGAGATTGCGAATCATCGGGGGGGGGGGGGGGGGCGCCCGACGAGCCTGCGCCGCCGAGGAACGCCTTGAAGTCGCCCGCCGCCTTCTGCACGATGTCTGCGTTAGTCGCCACGCTGTCGGCATGGAACTCGATGTTCCATCCATCCATCGCGCGCATCACGCCTGCGAGCTTGGCGAGGTCAGCAGTGAACGCATCCTGTTGCTCCTTCGTCGTGGACTCCTGCTGGCTCGCCCTCGCGACCTTCACGCAGCACTCCATGAACGACATCATATCCGCCAGCATGGCATGGGAATGAAGGATGTCTGATGCAAGCTTGGGCGGGGAGCGAACGTACTCCTCGTCAATCTTCTCCCAGAAGACGTCGCCGACGCGCTGGTGCAAGGTGAACTTGCAGTTTTACCACCTGTCGTTCATGGTATTCAGGGTGCTCGTGAAGGTATCCAAGCTTGCCTTGAACTTGGAGACAGAGGTGCTGAACTTCTCGATGGTATCATCATGCAAGGCCTTTGCAGTCGTCTGAATCATCCCCTTGTTCTCGCTATCGCCCTGGGCTGCTGCAGCTTCCGCGAAAACTTCACCTTGCAGTTGAGCATCGCCTGCCCCGATAAATTCCAAGAGCGCGTCGCTGAGACCTGGGGCGAGCGATCCCACCATCCCCATGTAGATGTCAATGACCACGTAGTTGCCGACCCTGATCGTGACCATGGTGTTCTCGAGGTTGCGAACCACGAAGTCCAGGTTGGAATGGGCCGACGCCGTACCCCACTTTTTGATCGCCCCGAACGCGCTGGTGAAGAAGACGCCCATGTGGCTGAAGAGGTCGTTGATGGGGCCGAGTGCTGCATCAGCAGCGCTGCTGCGCACCTGCGTCATCCAGCCATCCAGGTCGTCGAAGCAACTCGCGAAAGCCTTCTCGAACTTCGCCGAGGCTGCTTGGAAAGCATTCGTCGCTGTCTCGTCCTCGATGCTCTGGGCCACGTGGAGGCGACTGGCCCCCATCAGCGCTTTGCCCAGGGGGAACGCCTGCATTGTGCGAGCCCACTCGGATGCTGGCGTGCGTTGCTGCCTCATCTGATCGAGGATCACTTCCCTTGCGATGCGCACGCCTTGAGCTGGAGGCCTGGAAGACTCGACGTGGTTGACGCACCTCGAGACGACGGCAACGCTCGAAATCACCTTCGAAACCAAAGAATCGCTTCCCATCAAAACGGCATCGACCCGACAACCTGGATAAAAGAACCTGCCTAAACCTAAAAAAAACGGCCTCAACATCCAAACCATAACAAATCAGTGTCACCCCTCCCCTGGAAATACCAGGCATGGGCAGCGATTCTTTGCCACCGCCAAGCCTCCGAAAACGAATCGTCCTCAAGCTCGCTCCGAATGAGCTCCTCCTTGTGGGCCCAATTCTCGGCGATGACCTCGATCTCAAGAATGAAATCGTAGCAGCTGATGTTGTCTCTCGCGATGCTCTCAGGGAGATTCGCAATCCAAGATCTCATGGCATCTGAGACCATGGCCGCGAAGTGGAAGAGGGGTGTCTGGCCGATGACTGCTCGTTGCTTCAACTGCTCTCCGATCCGCTTGGCCGTCTTCTTAGCATTAGCAGTTCTCTTCGACTGGTGTGCGGCCGCCGCATCCTCTTTCTCCTCGGTCTTCACGTGAGTCACTTCAGCAGGTTTCACTGTTTCCTCCACGCGCGGCTTGAGCTCCATGATCTTTGCGAACGCCTCGAGGATGCTGGCATCGAACTCCTCAATCGCGCGCCCGACCGATTTCAGGTGGATGGCCATTCCCTGGAACGTAGCATAAGTCAAGACGATGTTGAGCTCCTCCGACATGACATTGTTAGGGCGCAACACGTATCCGACTATGACGGAAAATGGTTCGAGGGTCGATTGCAAGAGCATGTCTATGTGTGCTTCGACCCACGCCTTCAACGCCTTGTGGAGACCAATCACAGATGAACAGCGACTGTCCAGCTGAGCGTAGGCAATTTGATAGTCGAGGGTCACCTTCCCGACGATATTACTCTCGTGCTTGAGCAGACGCCTGTGCAAGGCATGCAGCGCCCCGAGAACGAAATCCTGAAACCACTCTGGGTTGGCAAGCTCCTCAACGTAGGTGTTGATCGTTCCTCTGATCCTGACGAGCGGTCCATACCTGGCTGGCCAGTTCGCACGCAAAGACAACTCACTGGCACCCTTCTTCTTCAGGAACTCCAATGCCTCTTCGCCATCGGTATCTCGTGGATCTGCAGCGTGGCCAGCTTCTCCTGATTGTGAGCCCTCCTCCTCAGCGCCATCCTCGCCCTCGCAATCTGCGCCCTCAACGGGTTCTGCCATCTCTGGAACGTCATCAGGCAGAAGCGGTGGTGGCTTGACACTCGTGTGCTTCATCATGTGAACGATCTTAGTGTACATGTCCCTGGTGGCCTCTCGATGCAGCCTAGCTTTCAAGTCCTCCTCTGTCTCAGCCTCCTCTTGCACGTCCTCATCTCCATCGGCTTGGCGCGTTGCGTCGTCGGCGTGCCCCTCCTTGGCGGCCTCCTCAGGGAACCCCGACTTGGGCACCAGGTGCTGCTGCGCATCAACGAAGCGAGACAAGGAAGAAGGGTGGGGAGCCCGCTCAAACTGGGCCATGCTGCCAGAACGTCGCATTGCGGGCTTCGCTGGCTCCGCAGTGGACGCGAATGCCTCCTCGAGGCTGGGCAGGTCCAGATCGAAGTCCACGGCGCCGTTCCCCTGCGCGGGCTGGGGCCCGCAAGCGCTGCCACTCGCCATGGCCGAGGCTGCTTCCAAGTGTTTGCAAGCAGAGGGGCGCGTCTCTGGGCCCCGACATTGACGCTAGTAACGGGTCCCCAAACGCAATATCTTTCGCAACCCAGGTATCTTGGAAGGTACTGTGCTATCCTGGGCTCTTGGTCCTGAGATTCGCGGGGCCAGCGCGCCCGTTTTCTGGACATCTGGTTTGAATTTAAAGCGCGTGGTGCTCTTGGGTGGCCTTCAGTACCCCCCCCCTCGTCCTCCTTTGTATTTTCTGCCCGGACTACATCCTAATTACCGCCCGCAAGGATCTCCCAACCGGACGATTCCCCCCCCCCCCCCCCCCCCCCAGAAAGCCTCATTATCATTCGGGCAGGTCGTCCTCCTCATCCACGTCCATCCAGGACGGATCGTCGCTGGGGAGCGTGAACATACTCGGAGCCGTAGACAACTCATGAGAACCTGTAGACAAGGGCCCGTGATCATCATTCCCTGGAGGTGGCGGCGGCCCTGGCATTGGGAACACTAGACTGTAAGCGTGGTGACGGAGGCGCGGGTCTCCTGCATCCAGCGGAAGCCAGCGCCAATTAATATAACCGAAAGAAGACATCGCCGAAATACCTGGAGCCTATAAGTTATTGGGGTAGGGAGGTCTGATTGCGGGGGGTGTAAGACGCGTGTGAGACTTCGTGCTGGATTGTAATAAGTGGCGGTGGTGGTGACGTGCGTGTGCGCGTGCAAACGTGAGCTCTGTGGGTAGTGCATGTCTGACACGCAAGCCTGTGTGGTTTTTGAAGTGGTGGCAGTGGCGGTTGCGTCAGCTGCGCGTGCGGTGCGTCGCCGAGGCGCGCGTATGCACGTGCCGATGCGTGCGGGGGCAGGCAGGGTGTGTGTGCGTGTGCGTGTGCGTGTGCGTGTGCGTGTGCGTGTGCGCGTGCGTGTGCGTGTGCGTGTGCGTGTGCGTGTGCGTGTGCGTGTGCGTGCGTGTGCGTGTGCGTGTGCGTGTGCGTGTGCGTGTGCGTGTGCGTGTGCGTGTGCGTGTGCGTGTGCGTGTGCGTGTGCGTGTGCGTGTGCGTGTGCGTGTGCGTGTGCGTGTGCGTGTGCGTGTGCGTGTGCGTGTGCGTGTGCGTGTGCGTGTGCGTGTGCGTGTGCGTGTGCGTGTGCGTGTGCGTGTGCGTGTGCGTGTGCGTGTGCGTGTGCGTGTGCGTGTGCGTGTGCGTGTGCGTGTGCGTGTGCGTGTGCGTGTGCGTGTGCGGTGCGTGCGTGTGCGTGCGTGTGCGTGTGCGTGTGCGTGTGGGTGTGCGTGTGCGCGTGCGTGTGCGTGTGCGTGTGCGTGTGCGTGTGCGTGTGCGTGTGCTTGTGCGTGGGCGTGAACCTGGGCGTGCGCGTGGGCATGGGCGTGGGCGTGGGCGTGGGCGTGTGCGTGCGCGTGCGCGTGTGCGTGTGCGTGTGCGTGTGCGTGTGCGTGTGCGTGTGCGTGTGCGTGTGCGTGTGCGTGTGCGTGTGCGTGTGCGTGTGCGTGTGCGTGTGCGTGTGCGTGTGCGTGTGCGTGCGTGTGCGTGTGCGTGTGCGTGTGCGTGTGCGTGTGCGTGTGCGTGTGCGTGTGCGTGTGCGTGTGCGTGTGCGTGTGCGTGTGCGTGTGCGTGTGCGTGTGCGTGTGCGTGTGCGTGTGCGTGTGCGTGTGCGTGTGCGTGTGTGTGTGTGTGTGTGTGTGTGTGTGTGCCGTCCCTGGTGGGCTGCGATCTGCGAAACTGTCGCCACTTCCGAGGGCTGCTGGTGGGTCCAACGAAGTGAGGCACCGCGGGGACCTGAGGTAGACCTCGCCGTCCCTGGGGGGCTGCGATCTGCGAGACTGTCGCCACTTTCGAGGGCTGCTGGTGGGTCCAGCGGAGTGAGGCACCGCGGGGACCTGAGGTAGACCTCGCCGTCCCTGGGGGGCTGCGATCTGTGAGACTGTCGCCACTTTCGAGGGTTGCTGGTGGGTCCAGCGGAGTGAGGCACCGCGGGGACCTGAGGTTGACCTCGCCGTCCCTGGGTGGCTGCGATCTGCGACGCTGTCGCCAGTTTCGAGGGCTGCTGGTGGGTCCAGCGGAGTGAGGCACCGCGGGGACCTGAGGTAGACCTTGCCGTCCCTGGGGGGCTGCGATCTGCGAGACTGTCGCCACTTCCGAGGGCTGCTGGTGGGTCCAGCGAAGTGAGGCACCGCGGGGACCTGAGGTAGACCTCGCCGTCCCTGGGGGAGTGCGATCTGTGAGACTCTCGCCACTTTCGAGGGCTGCTGGTGGGTCCAGCGGAGTGAGGCACCGCGGGGACCTGAGGTAGACCTCGCCGTCCTTCGGGTGCTGCGATCTGCGAGACTGTCGCCACTTTCGAGGGCTGCTGTTGGGTCCAGCGGAGTGAGGCACCGCGGGGACCTGAGGTAGACCTCGCCATCCCTGGGGGCTGCGATCTGCGAGACTGTCGCCACTTTCGAGGGTTGCCGGTGGGTCCAGCGGAGTGAGGCACCGCGGGGACCTGAGGTAGACCTCGCCGTCCTTGGGGGGCTGCGATCTGCGAGACTTTCGCCAGTTTCGAGGGCTGCTGGTGGGTCCAGCGGGGTGAGGCACCGCGGGGACCTGAGGTAGACCTCGCCGTCTCTGGGGGGCCGCGATCTGCGAAACTGTCGCCACTTTCGAGGGCTGCTGTTGGGTCCAGCGGAGTGAGGCACCGCGGGGACCCGAGGTAGACCTCGCCGTCTCTGGGGGGCCACGATTTGCGAGACTGTCGCCTCTTTTTTGAGGGCTGCTGGTGGGTCCAGCGGAGTGAGGCACCGCGGGGACCTGAGGTAGACCTCGCCGTCCCTGGGGGGCTGCGATCTGCGAGACTGTCGCCACTTTCGAGGGCTGCTGGTGGGTCCAGCGGAGTGAGGCACCGCGGGGACCTGAGGTAGACCTCGCCGTCTCTGGGGGGCCGCGATCTGCGAAACTGTCGCCACTTTCGAGGGCTGCTGTTGGGTCCAGCGGAGTGAGGCACCGCGGGGACCCGAGGTAGACCTCGCCGTCTCTGGGGGGCCACGATTTGCGAGACTGTCGCCTCTTTTTTGAGGGCTGCTGGTGGGTCCAGCGGAGTGAGGCACCGCGGGGACCTGAGGTAGACCTCGCCGTCCCTGGGGGGCTGCGATCTGCGAGACTGTCGCCACTTTCGAGGGCTGCTGGTGGGTCCAGCGGAGTGAGGCACCGCGGGGACCTGAGGTAGACCTCGCCGTCGCTTGGGGTGGGGCTGCGTTAGTAACCACAGCGACACCCTTACCTCTTGATCGGGGGCCTGCGAGCCTTCCGACTGCTGCTCGCGAAATCACATGCGTCCATGTTACGTCATCGCCCCCGTTGTAGAAATCCTGGTGTACTTTTGCCCCGCATTGCGCAAGGGTTGGGTACGTCGCCAGGGTAATGCTCGACCGCCTGTAGGGGGACATGCTCGACCTGAGTGTCGGCGGGCCTCGAGGCCCGCCATGGCCGTGCCAGCCCGACTGGGCTTCTCCCGTCGCCGGTACGGGGCACCCCGCCCCGGACGCGGGCGGTGCCTCGGGCGCGGGCGGAGACCCCCCCGCTACCCCCGCTGAACCGAATCCGGCGCGGCAGCGAAGGGCGACCGAAGTCGATCCCATCCAGCCGTGTGCGACGAGGGCCCCCTGAGTTTTCCTGCCGCTGAGCGAACACTTCCCTGAGGTCCCAAAGCGAGGAAAATGGTTCGGGTCGATTTTGCAATATGAAGTTGCGTATGTACATAACACATGTTGTTCGGATTTATTCAACAACAATGATGGTTCCGAAACATTTCAAGATCTATGCACATAGGGTTCACGAAACATTTTATGGCGCGATGCGCCGCAATTTCGGCGCATGAGGAGGGAGGAGGGAAAAGGGAGGAGATGAGGGTAGGAGGCGTGGGAGGACGGACGAGGGGGTGGAGGAGAGGAGGCAGGAGGGGGAGGTGGGAGGATCGGAAGGAGGACGGGGAGGAGCGAGGAGGAGAGGTGGAGGACGAACGAGGATGTGGAAGGACGGGGGCGGAAGGAAGAACGAGGAGGGGCGAACAGGAGTGTTGGGTCTGGACCCGCTCGGATTTTCGGGATTGGGTTCGGTCGGAATTTCGGGTTTCGCCTGTGAGGAGAAGTTCGGGTCTCGCTTCTTTTCGATGTTCGGGTTTCTCCCTTGGAATTCGGGCTTCGGCCCGGACAGCTGTCGGTTATGCCTTGCTACCTCGTCATCCTCCCCCTCCTCCTTTATCTTCTCCTTCCCCGTTCACCCCCCAGCAAGGACGACGTGGTCTGCATGTTCGGGCTTGGCACTGGCTGGCTCATCCGGGAGCAGAGGAAGGGCTTGGACGGCAATGACCTGCTGTCGCGCGTCCGAGCCGCCGAGGAGGTCAAGTGATGCTGATGATGGTGATGATGATGGTGATGATGTTATGGATGATGATGATAATGATGATGATGAGGAGGATGCTGATGATGATGATGTTGCTGATGCTGATGATGATGATGCTGATGATGATACTGATTATAATGATGATAATGACGGTGATGATGATGAGGATGATGACGCCGAAGGAGGCGACGAAGATGATGATGATGATGATGATGATGATGATGATGATGATGATGATGATGATGATGATGATGATGATGATGATGATGATGATGCTGATGCTGATGCTGATGCTGATGCTGATGATGATGATGATGATGATGATGATGCTGATGATGCTGATGATGCTGATGATGATGATGATGATGATGATGCTGATGATGATGATGATGATGATGATGATGATGATGATGATGATGATGATGATGATGATGATGCTGCTGCTGCTGATGATGATGATGATGATGATGATGCTGATGATGATGACGATTGTGTTGATGAGGATGGGGATCATTAGGACGAGGATACTGCATGTGGATTCCTGCAAGAAGAGTACGAGGATACTGCCAAGCAGGCAGATATAGGCGACGATGAATTCGGAAAGACTCC